GACCCGTACGTCTCCGCCACTCCTACACCCTTCTTCCAGCGTCTCTGTCCGATTCGTTGGATCTCCTTCCGCTTCTCGATCTAGCCCCCATAGAAGTTTCTTCGCTTCTTGTTCGGTTCCTGCCCGCTACCCCGACGTTCCCCACCCTGTTTCTTTCCTAATTTCTTTGTAGCTCCTCTACGCCGTTTGTTCCGCGCGCGCTCTCCTTTCTCCATTGTTTTTTCGCTCGCGAGCGCGCCCTCGCGGCGTGTACACGCGCACGCCCACGCGAAGCGCACGACACCATCGAGATACCCGCCGCGCCGGACAGTTTTCATATCGATTAGGGGCATTTTGAGGTGGTTGATGCGCTGCGAGCCCTGCCTCCAAGCGATCGCGGTGCCCGTTTCCTTGAGCGGATTTCGGGAATCAGAGGTTACGCTTGGAACTGAGTGCGGCGGAAGGTTGTTTGGGAGATTCGGGATTATGTTCTTTTGGAGATCTCGGGGTTGCGCGGTTGCTTGTTCTTTCTTTGTCCAATTTTAGAGTTTGTTTCGATATGGTAATTCTGTTTTATTACCCTTACAAGAGCTTTCTAAAATAGCGATAAGAGGATTCGTTAATATTGAGAATTTATTCATAAGCCCATGATTTCGGGATTGAAGATTTAACAATATTGGATTCCTGTTGTTTTCAGTCGATGGAAGAATATTCTTGTAGGTTTTCTAATGAGATATTTTGTATTATATTCGAAGAATCCAAGGAAATATCACTCGCATCGGAAAATGTAAAAGTGCAATTACCCTAAGAAAATAGATCTGCAATTGAAAATAATATCGTACCTCCCGTTATCAACACTCAAACATTAAACTTCTATATTCAGTTGGGAATCTCTTTCACTCTCTTCTAAATTAGGGTAGGCCCAGGCGAATCGGACCAGTTTAGATTTCGTAGCGAAAAACTCATAGATAAAACATAGACTCAACGTTGTTTTTTCATACATACGTTACTGTTACACATTCAGCTTCAATAGAAGTAAAAAAATTGTTTGAAACTTAAAAATCTTCGTTTTATAAGCAATAAACTGAAAAATGAGAAATATCCGATTCATCCCAAATTCCGGGGTCATATTATATGGGCGATCGGTATGCTCATTTCTATAACAACGTAATAAATATGGC